TTTTTGTAAATACACAATTTTGTCCCCCCCCCCCCTCGCCCATCAGCAGTTCACTGAAATATGCCTGCTCTACATTATTCCACTCATTTTCTATTTTGGATTTGTGGATAATGATGGTGGGATGGAGGGCAGCGGGGGATAAAAATGATAAAAGCGCAGAGGGAGAGGCATGCATTAAAAGAATAATTTGAGGATCTTGAGGGTTCTGTCTCTTCTCCCTGTTTCTAAAATAGAATTTGCGATAGTCCCCGCCACTGCCTCCAACTCTGTCGAGGGAATAATGACTTATTTATCAAATGGCTGAAATATTCAGGGACAAGGCCTTTTAAAATTCTGCCTTTTAAATTCATAGGCTTTTCTGCTGAGATGCTTAATGACAGCGAATGTATTCATAGTGATTTGCAGGTCGGAGATAGAGCCTTGTGTCCTGCCTATGAGTCTAATAGCTGGTTGACAAAAAGAAAAAGTGCCAGCTCAAGACAAGGTGAGCTAGAAAAGCGTGACCTTTGACCTCGTGGGATGTTCAGTGAATCAGATTTGTGTCGGGACCGGCTCCTCATGCCAACAAGTTAATGGCTGTGTTGCTGGAGCAGCGCTGAAAACATGTTTTGCAGCTCAGGAGATAAAATTTAATGGGTGGGGGGTGGGAGTGATAAATGAGTGTTATTCTTACTTCTACGCTGGAATGGACGAAGTTTGGAGATGATGGTGGTGATGAAGCGCTGTGCTGGGCAGCATTGGGGGTTACTGACATGTACGCGGGCACAGAGCGGCTTGCATGCGCCAGACTCATGACAGATCAGACGAGACGAGGGAGAGGAGCCCAAAAAGTGGAGAAAGCGCTGTACTCAGACTAGACTGCAGCCAAAGGGTGCGAGCAGAGTGTAATTACGCACCGCAGCAGCACGAGAACCAGAGCTCAGAAGACAGCGACCTCCTGCTGGCGCAGCGTCCCACCCTTATTTTCTCCAAAACACCAACGCACTTCTGTCGCTATTCACTCTCTGCTATCACCCCGTTCTACAAAGGCGAGGCTGTGGAGGAACTGAGCGGGCGCTTACCTTAACACGTTCCAGCTTTTCAGAGGGTCCAGGTCTGAAATTATAGAAACCATGGTCAACTTGCTGGGCAGCACCGGGAGAGGGAAGGGGTGCGGCAGAATAAGATCGAAAGAAAAAGCGGCGCAAAGGCTGTAAACTCCGTCTGCGAATGACAGCGATTGCTCGGATGCAACCCGTCCTGGTTGTTCAGTGGGTGATGAGCGCTGTCACAGCTCTCTCTCTCTCTTTCTCTTTCTCTCTCCCTCTCTCTCTCTCCCTCCGCCCCCTCCTGTACAAAGCCTGCGCTCTGCAGACGCGTCTCCACGCTTCGTCCGGTCCCTCTTTGACAGGAAGGCTGCTGCTGAGATGCAGAGATGTACAGCGAAGGAAGGTAAAGCCCACCTAGAAAACTCAATTACCCAGCTTCTGTTTTTTAAATACACCGGAGGAAATACAGTAGGGTTTCCATGCACTGTCAGAGCTGGCACACACTGCGCCGCACACTGTAAAATAGTGCAAACAACATCCATCTCAGCGTCTTGTTTTGTTTCATTTTAAGGCTTAAACCTCCTCTAAAGATGGATTGTTTCTTGCCTGTGGGGAGGACACGTCTCACATGCTCTGTTACTTGTTGGATTCTAAGACCAGTATTAAAAGAGGAGACAAATCACAGCCAGAAAACGAGCTGGTTTGCATTGAGGTTAAGTGAAATGATTATTGCACTGACTCCAAAAGAGGAGTTCACACAAGAATAAAACGTCATTTAAAACACTTTTCTTGATCTACTTCCAAAAAACAATTGTTAGAACAACAATTATATGAAGGTTTCCATTAAAAGAGATTTAGGTTTAAAAAGACCAAAGCACAAATAATTCTGCTTTATTATCCACCCAGAGCTGATTAGAAGCCACTTGATGCTGCAATGATGTGCCAAGTATTTTACAGCTGAGACCTCATCCAGGCACAGCTGTTCGCTGAAGTGTGGCCGTTACTAAGTTGGAGGCATCATCATAACCCTGCAGCGCCTGTTGGTCTCTGCAAACTCCCATCAGCGCTGACTTCCTGTCTGACACCACCACATCCTGTTGATGACTGTTTTCTTCCCCCTCCCCCCAACATGGCAGCAGATGCATCATCTCTGGCGGAGAATGACAAGGCAGCAACCAAGTCCCACCCATTCTGATTTGCCATCTCTTTGCTCATTGGGAAAAAACAGATGAGCCCCGGTGGAAGAAAAAGAAGAGAGTGTCAGAACTGTGTCTGTTTCAGATAATTGTCTGGGACAACAGAGCAGAGTGTCTGAAAGTCTCTGCCACCATCACTGGAGCTGCAGCACAAGTGGTTTGTTATTTTCAGGGGTCGGACTTTAGTTATTGCACTGGCACTCTCAGACACCGGTCAGTTTGACACAAAGCTGCTTGCTTGGAAGAATGCTCTGAGCATGAGTCATAACTCAGCCTTCTTTCTGCTTGATCAATGCACATTTTTAGCTTTCCCAGCTGGTGCTAAATGTGTGACTGTGTGCCACAGAAGATCATAAGTTCCATCAGCTGAAGCTAAAACAGTTTTTTAAAAATCTCCAAAATTGGGGTTGCGGGGTTTCCTGCAGTCATGAGCTTTGAGGTAATTTCCAGTTGACATTATGCAGAGTGGAAACGCTAGTTCACATGGAAGTAAACAGAGTTTGAGCTACGAGTCCAGCACACTGTAGGTAGGACATAACAGTAATGCAAAGCTACAGCCTGGCGCTCTGAGCATCAGCAGCCACACTGCACTGGCTTTAAATAGACTCAATTGGACATCTGCTTCACTGAGGAGGAGGATGGAGAGAGTTGACAGCATCTCTCTCCTCTTCCTCTGTCTCTATTTCTGTCTCTTGCATTCATATAGACACGGACGCAAAGCACACACGCAAATCAGAGAGCTCATATAGAGTTTAGTTTTCATCTGCACAATTCAAATTTCTGCATAACAAACACGGTGGCATGCGGGCCTGACATCCTGGAGAAGGTGTTGGTGCGTCTGTACAATTCAGTAATGCATGCAGTAGAGACCAGTCTGCAGGAGAGGTGAGACAACAGGAGGTTTTATTTATCATCTTCTTTATATATATTTTTGTTTTCTTCCTGGACCTTTGGAATCTGCTCTTTTCTAGATTTTCTTTTGTCTCTTTATTCTGGAATAATGATTAATATTATAGGATTATTTCAACTTAAAGTATCATGCAGCTTAATTGCACAACATAAACTCCAGATAAGAAAAATGCCATTAACAACTGTTCACCTGTGAAGCTATTCTATGAGAAAGAAAAACAGAAACAGCTGCAGTGTGGTTAAACAGGAAAAGTGGGAGAAAGGTGCAACAGCCTGGTGCAAACCAGGATTCACACTCCTGTAGCTCTGTGAGCTGGGTATGCAAATGACAGTCAGCTGCCTGTGTGCGAACACGCACCCTGCACTGTCACTGCCTGCCTGAACTTACTGATGCCATTATTCAGCAGAGGATTAAAAACCCTCGGACTCCACGCTGTCACACACGCACAAGCACACACAGGTTTTCATCATAAACCACAGGCAGAGCCAAAGCAATATCAGCGTGATAAACACCTTGTATTTCCCACAGCTTCTTTATTCGACTGAATCAGGCAGATCTGTGGACGAGGAGTGAGGTTTATGTCATCATGCGTATGTTCGGCAATGCTCATTTCAAATATAAACAAAGTCGGTGTATCTACAAACCACCCACTGAATACTTACCTCAATGCATTTGAAGGGGGGCTGGAGATGAGCAGAAAAGAAAAAATAAGCAGAGGATGTGGATGAAATAAGTATATGAGGATTATTTCATAAACAACAGGTTTTTCTTTTCAGTGTAAGTCATTTGATCCTGTCAAATATGTCTAAAGCCAAACACCCACGTGCTCATTGTCTGAAAAATGCTCTGTTTATGAGTCTCCCCCTGTTCAACCAACGAGTGGAGCGGTTGGCTGCTCGGCTCCACAGTGCTCAGCGAAACTACAGTTGGAGAAGGCAAATGAGATTCAAATCGGGAGACTGTAAAGTGGCACAGGCCCGGTGAGCAGGTTTGTTTGTTTGTCCCGCATTGCAATCAGCATGCCAAATTGCAGAAGGCCCTCGTGCTTTGCCTTTCCCTCCGAAACAGCCGACATAGATACAGACTAAACATTTTTTCTCTCACCTGGGCTGTGTGAATGTCTGTCATCAGGAAGCCTGCACACACATAAGGGGCACTTTTGCACGTTTCTATCCCCTTTCCATGTACAGTGCTGTACGTGCTGATTTCATTATGGCTGGTTATCTTTTATGTTTTCACTCCATGCATTGGATTTCAAGCTGCTATAATCAATATTTTTAGAATAAGAACGGATCAAATGACTGTGTATGTGACTCATAGCTGCGAATTAACAGATAATCATCACCTGACCCTGCGGTTCCCCTCAGTCCTGCAGAGCATTTTAGCACCCTCTGCTTATTGTTTAGATTTTGGAGCCTGCGACTTTCCTATTTGGTTCATTCTCACCAAAACAGAGCTAAATGGCTTCAAATTAATGCTACTATTGTCTGCTGGGTGTGTAAACATGCAGCAATTTCGCTAGCAAATTTATAAGTGAACATACTTTATGCTCATGTTACAGCTTGTTTTTATTCCTCCCAAATGGTCAAAAATCAGTGAAAGGGTGCTTAGACACTTGCAGTTTTGGCACTTGGAGCACACTCTGGTAGACAAGACATGCACAACAAAAAAGATAATAAGATGTTATATGAAACTTTGGTGCCACTTTGTCAGCA